AATCGATTAGGATCTGAACCCAAATATACAACAGATTATACAGATTTTCTTAAGATTGACTCACCTCGACCCGAATCTGATAAAATCTGAACCTGTCTTGAACCAAACTTTCACAGAACCCATTCGAATAGGGCTGATTTTGATAAATCCGGAAAGAAAAAAAACAAAACTCGATTAGACAAAACCGAAAACCCCCGGAATGCCCATGCCTACTCAAGGTTGACAACCGTAAAATTTTGAATTGCTCTTGCTCGGCGGCTCTGCCTCTCTCCTAGCCATCGCTGCTTCACCGATACCTCCTTCCTGCTGTGAATTAGTGTATTCTCTCAACCCTATTGTTAAAAATCTTTGTTAGTGTAATTAGTTTTCCCATTTTCCAATGGGAGAACCTTATTGAAGTTCTTAAACTTTTTTGTTTTTGTAAAAAATTGAATGATTTAAAAGAAAAACATACACAAATTTTTTAATAAAAATAACATAAAACCATATTAAATATATAAATAGAAATTGTACAAATCGTAAAGGACATACAAATGAGCTTATTTCTTTTGTTTGTGAGATGGTTAGAGTGATTGAAACCGCAACTGCACCTATTTTTGGTGTTGATGCTAATAAATGTGTCAATGGTTGGAACAATAAAGCCGCTGATATGACGGGGTTGCAAGCTAGTGAAGCCATGAGGAAGTCAGTTGCTGATGAGATTGTTCAAGAGGAGTCACGTGGAGCTCTTGAGAGTCTCTTGTCTAAAGCCTTGCAAGGTGAAGAGAAGAAAAACGTTATGCTTAAACTGAGAAAGTTTGGTAATAAATAACAAGGATTCTTCTTCTTCTGATGTGTGTGTTCTCTAACTCATGCACTAGTAGGGACTATACAGAGAAAATCATCGGTGTTTGCTTTGTTGATCAAGACATCACTAGTGAGAAAGCAATAACAGATAGGTTCATTACATGGAGGGTGGAGTAGTTAAGGAATAGCTATTGCTCTGGCCTCAGATCCCATTGTTCCTTCAAATCAACCTTTGAACACACAAACTAAATTTACCAACCATTGTTTCAGGACTTGTAGTTTTCCTTTCAGCTCTTGAATCTCCATCTCAACTCATTGTCTAACAACTTCTCAAGCTCAAAGATCTCGTTCAATGCCTCCTCTTTTTTCCTCTGAGTCCAAATCACAAATAAATTTAAAAAAAATCATTTATCACAAACGTGCATTGTTTTTTTCTCCCGAGAACTTGGCATGTACAAATAGAGAGCTATTCCCTGAAAACAAACACACCTTGTGTTCTTCCACAAATTTTAACACACGACCATCCGTCTCTTTCTGATTCAGGACTTCATGGTATTATCGTTCTGTCATAATAAAAAAAAAAAGATCACCATTACGTTAGAAACGTAAAAGTATACAAGAAAGAATGACTAACTAACTACTACCGTCTTCTTGTCTTGAAAACAGAGTGTTTGTCTGTTAATCTAAAGGAACCAACTTTGGAGCTCGACGATCAAAAGAGACCACATTCCACAACAAAACAGAATCTCAGTTTCAATCTCTACTTAGATTCGTAATGATAATTGCAATGCTTTGAAGCTCGACCATCCATATGAAACAAAGCAAGAAAAAACAGAGTAAACAGAGCAATCCAACATTCATGCTTATTAGAAAAGGCAAAAAAAGAAACATTTCGAATAATCACTCTCACTCCAAATCCTGAACAATCTTTAACAATCAAAATAATGTTCATGTGGTAATTTTCTAATATAAAAAGAATTACGTCGCACCTTATTTTCAAATTTTGGATCGAATTCACTGTCATCTTTTCTTGAATACTTATCCTTACTAATTTTGATTTGTGTAATTTCTGTTTCATATCAAATAGGATGGGTAATTATATCTTGTGGTCGTATTCGAAAGATTTGAATTTGAACGAAATTAATATATGTTCCCACAAAAAAAAATTAAAATTACCCCTTCTTAGAAAATATATTTTTCAAAATATAAAACCAACAAATAAATAGCGTATTAAAAAACAAAACAAAAAAAATATAAAATATAAAAAAAAACTTAGGAAAAAAAGGAAGGAAACAACTGTTATGTTATCTTCATTTAAATGATTGAAGCATGTATGGACCTATATCTGTGAAACAGTGTCTTACTGCCTCTTGTCTTCTTATCATTTTTGTCTTACTTTCAAATAACTTTATGAGATATGCTTGGGTGATTTATTATGCAATAGATGAGATATATACTGTGGATCACATTGTTTGACATATATATACTGTGGATATAGGCAATATATAGTGTGAAGACAAATGCATTACTATTTACCAACGTTTATCCGTTTGGATCCTAGTGTAATAAGTCTTGTTTGGAAAGGACTAGTTTATGGTGTGGCCTTGGCTTATTCGACAATAATGTGGGAGGAGGGGCCTCTATTATGAGGATGAAGATGCGACGTACCGTTCTCTAGCATTTTCTTGTGTTGAGTGTGTTCATATGACAACGATTAAGAACAGGTTAATGGAGACGTAATCCCGTTCATGTTAGATTCTTCCTTTTTTGATAAGTTATATCTATACAAAGTAGTTGAGTTTCGCTTTTAACTTTTAATTAACTTGTCGGAGAAGTATATTTCACTCAAGTCAGGTGTACTGAATTTTTTGGAGGTGATTCAGCGTTTTATATGATTGATACCAATATCGACAAGATGTGTGTCATAATGTATATGATTGTTTTTAATTATTTGAAACCACTTTAGGTAGAGGTATTTTTCCCAACGCGCTTAAATACAGAGACACATCAGACACATAGTGATATATAGGACTTGACAATTTTTATTCTGATATATAGGACTTGACAATTTTTATTCGCTAAATTTAACTCGATTCGTACGATTTGATCCAAAAATTTTGGATATCCATAAATTTATGAAACAAAATAAATATTAAAAATTAATATCTGTTAAAATAGAAACAAATTAAAGATATAAAAAATTTGGGACGCGAAGATCTGCTTCGATCCGAAAATATATAAATATATTTATATATATATATATATATATTGATTATATTTAAAGTTTAAATGTATAAAATTATATAATTATTATTTTAATATATCATCTGACAAATTAGATTCATACAATTACTTATATAAAAGTATTATATAATAAAAAGAAGAAAAAAACTTGTCATAATTATAATTTTTTATCTTAAATTTTGTGTTATAATAATTGTTAACTAAATTTAATTTTTTTACAAAACATGTAGATTCACTATTTTTTTAAATTTTTACTTTATATATTATGTAAAAAATACTTTACAAAAAAAACTGTATCAAATTTTTAAAATTATTTGTATTGATTAAAACGAATGAGATATCCGTAAGTATTCGTAAAGATCCACAAATATCTATTTATCTTTTGGATTATCGTATTCATATTTTTCCGAAGCAAAAGAAATCGAAAAATTCAATATCCGTAACATATGTAGCAAATCATAAATACCTTCAAAGGACTATATAACCGATTCGTGTCCAGACCTAGTGATATATGATGTTTTGATTTATTGTACAAAGATTAAGAACCTTACTTTCTTCTAAAAAATATTTTGAATATATAATTTTAAAATCATTCAACCAATTATAAAAAATTTTAAAATCTATATTGAAGAGTTTCCAATAAAATTAAAATTGATCTTAAAACGTCGAAATTTATATCTTAAACAACATAAACCTTTTAAAACGTCATATAATTTGAAACGAAAGAAAAAGAGTAATTAACTGATTCAAAGGTCATGAATGCATCTATACTATTAAAACTGAAGTACAAAAATAAAGTGTTTGGAAACATGAATAAGAAAATTTTAAAAGTTTGATTGGAAACATGGATAGCATACAAATTTAATGGGCTTATTTATTATACTAAAGATTACTGCGGCCCAATGTACCATTATTATTGTTTTTGGATTTTCTATCATTGATATTACTTTATTTCTACAAATTATTTATACATATATGTATTCATGTTTTAAATGTATTTAGAATAAATCAAGAATAATATATATTTTATTTATATAATTTATATTGACTATTCTTATAAGTTCTTAACAGTGATATACTAGCCTTCCAATTCTTCATTAAAAAGTTAAATTAAAAATTTGACTAAATTATTTAGTGTATATAACTTTACACCAAATTTAGTCAAAAAACTTTATAAACTATTACTAAAATATTTACGGGTCACAACATTTTACGACGCCCCTGTTACACAATACAATAATGAAATACAATGTTTAAACAATATACTATTACTTAGTAAACTTGGAGCCATTAAATTGTAACTTTGAAATGTTATCTATACCATAAAAACAAAGACCCGCCCAGTCGGGCGGGTTATGATCTAGTAATCCATTAAGGCGAATCCCAAATTATTTAATATTATTTTATTTTGTTTTGAACAACATTTATAATTCTTCTTTCTTTCTTTTTTTTGACAACTTATAATTCTTCTTTAAAAATTAGTTTCCTCATATACTCATAACGTGAGTAGAACACATGACTCTAAGATCACTACATTTTCGGTAATTTAAATACTTAAACTTAACCTAGCCAGCTCAACGTTGGCTATTTGGATTACTATGATATATATGTCATATATTCTTAACGGATTAAAGTCAGTATTTAAAACTTACAAGTCAAGACATTCTTGACGACCCAAAATAAATAAAGATTGAGATCATCTGATACAGTTATTCAATTAAAGCAATTAGGGTGTGTGATTATCCAAATGCACAATTCTCTTTATACCGTCGGTCGTTAAAAGAGCTCGTGCCTCGTCGGTTAAAAGAAGCTTGTCGTTTGGGAGCGTCCAAAAGCCACACCATCCGACTAACTTTCATTTTCAGAGACGTATTTGTCAAGTACAAATATCAAATACAAAATAACTATTATTAGTGGGTAAAACTAATTCAACTACACATATAAAAATGTTTTTTCATCGAAATTTGAAATCATTTATAGAAAAAGAACATCAAACAGAACCTTCTGTTATCCATTTTGTTCATCTTGGTCTGCAATCAACGGATGGTTATCAAGACCAAAACAACTTTAAAGTAAAATAATATTTTCTGTTCGGTTCTTTTTTTTTCTCTTTTCACAGTAAACCGGACCTCGTGGTCTAGTGGTAAAGGAACCTCGGCTGAGGTGCCCGCCATCACGAGTTCGAGTCTCGGCCACAGCGGATTTAACATGGTTTCCGTTTGGCCTTCAGGACCCCTTCGAGGGATAGTCGGGTCTCTAAATAAGCCCCGGACACCTGAGTTATCAAAAAAAAAAAAAAAAAAAAACTTTAAAGTAAAGTATAAAAAGAAACAAAAATAATATTTTCTGTTCGGTTCTTTTTTTTTTCTCTTTTCACAGTAAAGGTGTTTTATTTCATTTCCTGTTTTTATGTCACTATCATAAGAAACGATTATTTATAAACGCTTTTGGATTTTTGGTATAAATACAAAGAAGATGATGTGAGAGAGTTCAAAGAACAAAAAAAAAACATATATTAAAAGAAAGAGAAAATCATGATGATAAAAAGGATAGAGCTGTGTATAGAGCTAACGAAGATAGGAATGGAGTTCGTCGTAGCGGTGGCGGAAGCCGTCCAGATTGCCTGGCGGCAACACCTCAACCACCGTACTCCGATGCCTCCTCCACCTCTCCTCCGCCATGGCATTTCCTCTTCTTACCATTCTCCTTTCCTCTTTGGATTTCTCCCTTGATGAATATTTTTTTGTTTCTTTTCTCTTGTACTCTTTATAGACATTTTAGATGTAGGCTTTGTTGATTCTTGTAACTATGTAAAATACTGTACTCGTTTCAATAAGATTTGCAGTTTTCTTTCGAGTTTTTCTTCATTTCTTCTGATTATCTTTAGAAAATAATAGCAGAACATTTAATAATAATAAGACGGAAAATGGTTGAAAAATAGAAATAATTGTAACGAATCGGTTGAGGAAACGTGCAGCGGAAACAATATTCTCCAAAGTCCACGTTCGATCAAATTTGTTTACTATTCCATGTTTATTCAGGATGATACGTACTTAAGTAGTTCACGTCAAGTTATTCAATTAATTACTATATCAATCTTCATCAGTCCTTGGAGATGCCTTCGGGCTCAGGGTTTGAACTTGGACTTTTTTCATAAAATTGTCAGGAAAAAAAACTCTTAAGATAAAAATAAATAAATAAAGGGGTCTTTCTATTTTTAAAACCAAATATTCTATTTTTACCTTTACTTCTTCCACTATCATAAATTATATCATTTCACGTTGAGAAACTATGAATGTTCTTATTGCATAGAAGTACAAAATTGTTTTAGGAAATTAACATATATTAAGTAATAATGTACTTAAAAAATTAACATATATAATGTTCTTATTGCAGATTTTTTTTAAAAAAATTAAACTCGTAGAATAATGTACCAAAATTGATATGACATACATTAATATTTGGTATTGATCAATAATGTTACCCAAAAGGTTAATAACGGAGTGATTAACTTTCTACGGTATGATTACAAACAGGCCCGATCTGGGGCATAAGCAAAGGAATCGGCCGCTTAGGGCATCCCGATTTTATACAATAATTTTATAAATATATGGGGCACTATAAAAAAAATTATGAAGAATAAGGACATATATTTGCAGTTTGGAGTAGAGCATTACAATATTTTTTTTAAAGTTGGACCGGCCCTGGTTACAAAAACAAGGACTTTTAAAGATTGTGATGAACCATGCGGCCGTATCGCCAAGAGAGACAAAAGAATCATCCTGCATGGGTGTTATGAGGCCAAATATTGTCACGGACGATGGCGGTCGTGGGTTCATTCATCTTTCCACCGCTTGATTTCAAGCTCGTGATCTTTGGAAGTTAAGTTTCATTTAAAATTTGACCCAAATAATCTCTTATATATTAATCCTGAAGCATTCATAAATGCACAACCTTGGAGAACATGCTTACGTGTTAAGTTCACAGAGCTTCTCAGCTTTAATCTTTTAGGTTATAAATAGTGACCAAAGGAATGAGGAGGAACAATGCATTCCTTAATGTTCTTAAAATAATTTACCATTCATAAGGAATAGTTTTTCTTTTCTATTCCTCCTCATTCCTTTTATTGTAGAGATTTATTAAACACATTTGTTCCTTATTAAATTTGATAAGGAATAGTTATTCCTCTTCATTCCCATAATTTTATTCCCATCTACTCTATTCCAATTCGTTCCTGATATTCCCGTGATGGTTACCAGTTAGAGCCTTAATGTACCAACTTTGCTAGGAATGAAATAATGTAACATTTAATTTCTTGCATTTAGGACTATAATATATAGACATTTTTTAAGGGACCAACTCTGCTAGGTATAAAACAATATATTTTATTTCCTTAAATAAAAGCTACGGAATTACCTAATATGATTAACATATGTATGTAATTAATGATTATGAATAATACATTTTTGTATCCTCTCTTTTTTGTTTAATTTTAAATTATTAAAATAAACTAAACAATCACATTTAAATATATAATAAAAAATTAAAAATTTTATAGGTTATATTTTTAATTTTTTTTTAAAACGACCATAAATAACTAAATATAGTAAAATCCCACATTGAAAATTTTATGATCAATGGTTTAACTTTTTTTTTTCCAAAGAAGATACAAATTATCATAAATCGTACGAATATGAAGTATCATTAGTAGATATTCATACTATAAATATGTTAATTTAAAAATTTCAGTGAAAAGGTTTGAGGTTAGTAGATACAAATTATAGTATTTGAAAGATTTTTGTAGTTTTTTTTATTTGCTTCTTTTTTTTTTTAATATCTTTTAGTTTGTTTAGATAATTTAACTAATTTTAAAATAAATTTATTAATAGTTTAAATATTTTGATTTTTTGTCAACTTTTAATGTTTAAGAAATATTTTTTGGGATGATTTCAGATATTGGTTACAATACAATCCAAACTGAATTGAGAAGATCAAATTGAATCCAATCCGATAATTAGTAAAATTCAAATAAGATTTATGAAAATAGTACCAAAATCTGAAAATATGTGTCAATCAAAATAAAACCGACGAAGTCTCAAACGTCCAGACCTATGATGATTTAAGATACCAACATTTGTATTCATCATTTTCTAATCGATAAATACTGTAGTATTGCAAAATGTTAAAAACCATTTAATGAATAAATATTAGTATAAAAATTTCACCCCGCGCATGCGCGCGGGTTATCATCTAGTAGTTTCTTAAACTCTTAACATCATTAATAAAACATCAAAATTATTCATGTCATACTCATACTTGTATCCACTTCAATTTTAGTGTTGAATTGTATTTGAAACAATCCTCCAACTAATATATGGAAATGTAGTTACCATTAATTTCCATAAAAATGTATTAGCTATTAAGATTTGGTATTTGTATTGTTTTAGTTAGAGTAAATAGTTTTGTCTTTTACATCTGTAAACTGTATCAGACTCTGTATGCAAGAGTTTTTGGGAAAATATATTATAACACCACCAATGGGAAATCCTTAAGAAAAATACTTAGGAAAAAAATAATTAAATAATTTGCAGAATCCATAAAAAATTAAGGATTCGATCTTTAAAATCCCTAAATAATGACTGATCCTTACACTATTTGCGAGTCCTCACGACACGTGTCGGCCCACGATTGATTGGTATTTACTTTTTTTTTTATAAATCCAAAAAAGAAAATAATAATTAAAAAATCAAAACTTAAGAACTTCTTAAGGATAACACCATAGTGAGTGTCCTTAGAGCATCATTATCCCTAGTTTCAGGGAGTTTTTAGTGAAATATAAGAAATTATTTCTTAACTTTTAACTAAAAAATTAAGAAACTATTTCTTAAATTACAGATCTTAAGAAACACACTGAGTGATTACTTGCTTGTGATTTAATTACTAATTAGTATTACCAAGTTAATATCTACACAAACCACATAAGATAAGACACAAGTTTTTTTAAAAATCGACATACACTCAGTCACCATTACAAATCGTTCGTCGGTGCGTGCCAACTCACAATGTGTATAATATATATAATATAATATTGACAGTAAAACTATACTAGTATGATATATTAAGATGCATGCAGATGCAGTTGCAAGTTACGCAACACAGACATCTCACATTAAATTAGTTGGCTGGCTATTAAATAAACTCTCCTGTAGTTATCAATAAAAGTTTCTTCTTCATATTTCCTGAGAATAATTGTTGAAATTAAAACACAAAGCCACATTAAGTGTAGTATTAAAGGATAAAGTCTTGCGAGGAAATTCCTGGGCTAATTAGGTCAGATTGTAAATGTCAGATCGAGTATTCTTAAGTCTTAACCTATTTATTAACATGGTTAGTTCTTAAAGCATTTTCAAGGGAATTTCTCACCAAGAACTCTTAATACAACATTATATTAATATTTAATTTTCAAACAAAACATAATTAGTATTAATACTTATTATTGAACTTAAATAAAAATTTAGTGATTCAGAGAATAATTTTAGTATGGATTTCTCATGTTTTTAAAAATACAATAATAAAGTATCCATATAATATTTTTAAGAGGCTTCGGTGAATTTTTCATATAAGAAGATAAGTATAATATTTTGAAGAGGCTTTAGTGAAATTTTCATATTAGAAATAAGTTGAAGATATTTTCATTTAGACAATAATTTTTGTGTAAGTTGAGATATTATAAGATACTTGACGATGTTCCTATCCTAGAATATAAAATACTCCATTGTATTATGTTATTCTTATAAAGTTATAATGTAATTAAGGATAATTGATTAACGTATTATGAAGGATAAATAGTGATGTGGACCCGAAGCCATCAATATCTGCAATTCCACAAGAAGCAGGGTACTGAACATGGACGCGACAGTGGGAAGATACAGTTTGACATAAAAACAAGAAGCGCTATTATCCACGGTCTTTTAAATTATCACAATTTTTTTAAATTATCACAATTTTTTAAGTAAAGCCAGTTATTACAAGCTTTTTTTCTTACTTCCAATGTTATTTCTGATGATATGATTAATTGTAAAGTTGCACAAAAATGGATTAACTGTAGAAAGAAGTGACTTCTCAGTTCTCATTAATGTTATAAACTTTAGGAGGTGTTAGTGGGACTTAGATTTCTATAGAATTTATTGATTTTAAAAGTTGAGAGATTTGTTAAATTTGGAAATAGTTGTAGAGAATTTTGTGTATTGTGAAAGTCTATAAAAATAAAGTCCTATAATGATTTTATGAATCCAATGGAAACATGTAGTATTCTCAAAATCTTGTTTAGTGAATCAAAATGTTAAGAACACAACTCCCAATAACATTTACTTTAATAGATTTATAAAATCATTAAAATCTAAACTTTTTGAATAAGAAAAGATTTTATATAGATTATAAAATCATCAAACCAATAACACTAAATTTTAATAAAAATGTGAGGATCTAAATACTAATAACACAAGATTTGAAAATTCTAATAGTCACTATAAATCACATTTCCACTAACACCCCTTAAGGATTGGTTTGGAGAATACAGTGATAATTTACAGTTACAAGCATAAATGTGAATATATGGATCGCGTTGAAAAAGTTTCAACAAAAGCAATAATAAGACAAATTTCATAACATATAGTACATAATGGCGGAATATATATTAATTTGATTAAAATATTTTATATGGTATTTAATTTGTTACAAAAATAACTAGCAATAATTAAACTAATTATTACAAATGTGAAAACAACTAAAATTTTTTTAAAACATTTTAGTTTTTATTATAAATGTCTAGCTTATTTTTCAATATATTTTAACAATAGGTTGACATAATATACGAATTATAATAGAATTTTATTTACAACATAATTATTTATCATTAAAAATTATTGATATGTATTTTAGATTTTAAGATAGTATTAGCATATAATTTAATAATATGAAAATGTTAATTTGTAAATATTTTCACCATAATCTACTAAGGATTCGATTGGCAATAGCTGTAGATTTAAAATTTTTGCTGTAGAAAATAATTTGTAGATTTTTAGATGTGGCTTTAGATTTTATTGCTGTAAAATTTATAGAAAGTTCTACAATATTGCTGTGAATATTTGGCTATATAAAACACTTGTACAGCTGTAGATTATTTCATGAGCTGTGATTTTTAGAAAAATAATAAAGCTTGATTGCTTTGAATTTGATGCTGTAGAAATAAATGCGGCTGTGGAGAACACCTATAACAATTACCAATCACACCCTAAAACTCACTTTTCTACTTAATAAAATTTATCTTTATATTTTTGTCAACAAAAACGCAAACCTGTATTTTTGCTTTTTTTTTTATTTCGTAACATTTTGTTGATTGGTAAATTTTTTGCGGAATTACGTTTCATACGACCATACAGATAGTTACCAATCAAAGCCTTATTTGTTAACCGGAAAAAGAAAAGTGAAAAATAAAACAGAAACAAGATAACTTCATGCAGAAGGTACCGATTTAGATATAGCCTATGTTATAGTTATTGAAGTACGTCATGTATCTTGCTAATTTGAGATGGCTATGGTATGGTCAGAGAGCGAAATATATAAAAGAGATTTCATTCTTTTGGATAGTCGAGGTTTGCAGAATATCATCGTTGGAACTCACATAAACTTCTTTGAAGCTACATATGTTTCAGACACAGCTAATATTCCTGCTATGTAGATAGGTGTATTCAAGGTCAACGTGGATACATTGACTCTAGGTCCTATTAATAGGCAAGAACAAACTAAATAAAACTAATGTGTTGAGGTTTTTGATTCCAAGTACTACAAATTGGATCAAGCTCTCGCATACGATAAGCACTCTTATTCACAAGTAGGCAACGGTGAAAGAAATCACCGTTTCAGTATTGTGACGAAGTAAACAAGTAGTTTACCTCTACTTATATAAATATCACATGATTTCAGTATATTCAAGGTTTGAATTAATACATTCGATCTTGCTAGTTGCTTCCTAGCAAATTTTAGATGATAAGAGTTTACTCCCTCCGTTCCATAATATAAGATGTTTTAGAGAAAATTGATGTTTCAAAATATAAGATGTTTTGATATTGTTAAAGTACTTTAACTTTATAGAAAACCGATTGACTAATAGTATTTTAATTTATTATTTATGATTGGTTAATTTATTTTAAAGCATTAATTAGTTGGAAGAAGAGAGTGAAAACAATTATTTTTGCATAGAAGTCTAAAATCTTTATCGACCATCAGAAGTTGTAATTGTACTAATTAATCCGACCTCTGGTAACAAGTTGGTTTCGGTTATCATACACTAGTTACCCTTCAATTGTCTTCTTCTTCTTTTCGTTTTACAAATTTAGCTCAAGAAGATACAGTTGTTTTTATATATAAATCGGGTTTTCTCTTCGATTGATATTAGTATCCTGGGAACATTGGAGGTGGTGGTGATGCGTATTGGTGGCCGACGAAGGGTGGTAAGATGAAATCACCACTTGAAGCTGGTTCTTGTGCCTTCGGTTCCTCTTTGCTTTCTACTGGAGCTGGTGGTGGTGGGGAGTCGATCTTAGGCGGTCTTTGTGGTTGAGATTGCAACGGTGGCGATTGAACAGGTGGAGGAGGCGAATGGACTGGTGGCGGAGGGGAATGTATCGGTGGTGGTGGTGAAAAAACAGGTGGAGGAGGAGAGTGGACAGGCGGAGGTGGTGGGGAGTGAACCGGAGGTGGAGGAGAGTGGACAGGCGGTGGGGGAGAGTGGACTGGTGGTGGGGGAGAGTGGACTGGTGGAGGAGGTGGGGGTGGAGAATGAACAGGTGGTGGTGGAGAGTGGACTGGTGGAGGAGGTGGTGGTGGAGAGTGAACGGGTGGTGGTGGAGAGTGGACTGGTGGTGGAGGTGGTGGCGGAGAGTGAACTGGTGGTGGTGGTGAAGGGAGAGGAGGAGAGCTTACCGGAGTTGGTGGAGGAGAGAAAACCACTGGGGGTGGAGGAGGACTGCGTCGTTTCGTCACTGGCGATTGATCAAAAGAATCATCCGGTTGCGGTGACTCTTTCGGTGATTGTGGTTTGTGAACCGGTTTTGTTGGAACTGGCGATGGTTTGTGTTCAGGCGCAGTTGGAACTGGCGATGGCTTGTGAACTGGTGAAGGTTTGTGATCAGGCACAGTTGGAACTGGCGATGGCTTGTGAACGGGCGCAGATGGAACTGGCGACGGTTTGTGAACAGGCACCGTCGGAGCTGGCGATGGTTTGTGAGCAGGCACAGTTGGAACTGGCGATGGCTCGTGAACCGGTGATGTTCTCGTTGGAGTAGAGGAGCCACCACCAGCGCACTTGTCCTTGCTACAGTCAACCGGACGGCTGATCACTACTGCACATTCCTTGGCAGACCGTTGATCAGGTCGATGAGGTAAGCAATTGCGTATGTCATCCAATGCAATCTCCTTTTGACCACCACCCGGAACACACGAACCACCTTGTCCATTGAAATAATTGTAGGAATAAGTGAAGTTCACCAAATTAGGCAACTTGCAAATGTTATCCGCTACTAATCCGGTCAGTTTGTTCTCTGAGATATCAAACTCCTCCACACCCGTTAACCCGACAAAACTTGTGGGGAGACGGCCTATGAATGTGTTCTTGCTCGCATCGAAAACCGTCACATTCGACAGCTTTCCGATTTCAGACGGGAAACAACCGCCCAACTTGTTGTCCAGGAAGACAACCTCGTTGAGATTCTTCATGTTTCCGATACTTTTGGGAATACATCCGGTGAATTTATTGTTCGCAAAACTCACAACCGTGGCTGGAGATTCTCCTAGAGATTCAGGGATCGTCGAGGTGAATCTATTGTTGTTCAAGAAAATAGCGTCTAGCTCTTTCTTGAACAACTCAGAAGGGACTTGACCTTCAAAATCATTGAACCTAAGGTCGATGAACTTAACATCAGGCCATGCGAGGACGACGTCTGGAAAAGGTCCAACGAAACGGTTATTACTGACATCAAATTCATGCATCAGCCTCAACTTCTCAAGGCTCTTAGGGATGATACCACAAAACCGGTTAGAATTCAAATGGAACAAAGCAACATCTGTCAGCAAACCAAGCTCAGCAGGCAAATGCCCGGCGATATCCGCACCATTAAGGTCAACACCAGCTACAACCGTGACATCGGCATCATCTAGAGCCTGTGCACATACCACACCGTTGTATCCACACACGTGAGGGCCATGCCAGTTTCCCGTGGTGTTGAACGGGTCCGAGAAGAAAGCCTTTTTCCATGCTTGAAGAGCTATGTAAGCTCTTTTAAGCCTTGTGTTTGCAAATGTAGCCTTGAGATCAACCTCGTATTCAATGTCATCAGGAAGTTCACCGTTTGCTGGTAATGTCAAGAGCTGTCGCTGCACGATGAAGGCAGCTTCGGTATCGGTTAGGGCAAATGCGACAAAGGAGGAGGAGGAAAAGAAGAAGAATAAGAGGAAGATGCAACACACAATGGAAGGAGGTTTAGCCATGGCTAAAACAGAAACCTTGGAAGAGACCCAAGGATGTTTATAGATGGGCATGAGAGGGTTAAAGGAAGATACAGATGTGTGTTATTAATAACACAACAATGTAATCACCAACGGTTTTCATTAACATTCTTTGTCTATATTTAGGGAACACTCTTTTGTTTTTGAGGATTTTGCTTGAGATCCGGAGGATAGATTATCAATAATAGAAATTGTGGTTAAAGAAAGGAAAGCTAAGCAGAATCTTGTTTTAGAAAGAAAAAAAACTAAGCAAATTATCTAAAATGTCTTTGTATCAAAAACCTGTCACTGTTATAGGACATAGCCTTGAAAACGAATGGTGGCTGATTCATTAGCGAACGTCCCGCAACAACGCATATCAATTTTTTTGGTCTCTCACTACCTTATGTGCATCGCAAGATACGTCCCCTAAGGGATCACACACTACTTATGGTGAATCCCTTGTTTTTCAAGATCCTCAAAAGACTTCATACCTCTATAACAATATAATATAAATTCTATCAATTAATAATGTTGAGATTTTAATATTTTACTGATTTATAGAATTATAATTTACAAAAGAAAAAAAAATCATTTTTAGATTATATATATTTTCATATACAAATATGAAGAATACTTGATATATATTGATTAAATATTTATAGATACAAAAATTATATTGTTCACATTCAATTTTTTGGTGTATACCGTAAAAGTAAATTTATTTTAAATGTATTATGAAACAAGAACATCAATATAGATAAACTTTAATATAAATAAAAACTATGTAATATTTGATTATATTTATATGAATTTTATAAACACTACTAACTAAATTATATTTAAGCTGAGAGAATATATTTCTATATAGTTTTTTTAAAAAAATATTATCTTATTTAATGAATTATTTCATATTTATATTGGCCCAATTCATAATGAAAAAGTTAATAATTTATAGAGTTTTATATCTCATTGAAAGATCATCGATTAAAAACGGATTTACTGTTGACTACTGTATGTATATTTAGTTTTACAAGCCATTAGATATGTGTACATGTTTCTTAAGTAAATTTATCTGTAACAAGTAGAATTAAAAATTAAAACAATTACTTTTCAAAGTAATTATAAAATTCAGAAGAAAATAATGTTCTTGAAAATGAATAAAGATTGAAAAGCTATGAAAGAAATGACGATCATGCTAATATGATTACAAATACTTACCTAGTTAACAGACAAACTTTAATAAAACAAAAAAGAATCCTAATTTCGTCTCCACTTGATCTCTTAAGGCTCTCTCTTGGCCTCATTCTATACAACAAACAAAGCCATTTCTCGTGGCACATCTCCTCTTTTTCTCTATTCATAGTAATTCCTTTGGCCTCATTCTACACTTGACTTCCTATTCCTTTGCATCGTTTCACATTCTGGAGCTTCACCATCCTTAAGGCACAACCTGAGAATATGCATCAGCTTCTTTAGCATAAACACAAGTGAAGTTGTTTGGTATGTGTTCCTTTTCTATATATTTACCTGATCATTCAATGAACTCTCATCGTAGTTAGCCTCTCTTCTGCGTTTCCTGGACATCCCTGAATTACATCCCTTCTCTCCTACTTCTTCTCTGAAATTCTGCCCTGACGCCTCTGCATTTACAAGAAAAATTATTTAGGCCAGAGTGTAGACTTTTAGACTATGAGGACATAAATTATAAACAAGATACATTCATGTGTGTGAACTAGATATCAGACCAGGTCTCATACATGTTCTTTGATTCTCCCAAGTCATATCAAGTCTATTTTTTTCTGCCGCAAAGTCTTCTAAAATTCAATGCAGAGTTATCTTAAATATTGATCAAACTAACAGTATCAACCAAGTAAATTCAGAATACAAAAAAAAAAAAAAGGGAAGATGCCAAAGATATAACTTCCACGAAAGAGTTCAATTTGTAAACTAGTATAAACAAAATGTTACCTGCAGTGGATTGAGCTGGATACTCACGCCCCAAAGATAATCTAGTAAGAGCCCTATCACTTTCCTTGCGCAATACGTTTCCTTGGTCAGTAGTTAAAAAAGCTCGTTTCTTTCCAAAGTTAGACTTCTGTCGGGAACCATTTTGCAGTACCGTAAACTGCAAAAAGAGAAAGTTGTAAGTTTCACTAGAGGATTTATTACAAAAACAAATGATGTCAGATAACAAAGAATAGTAAACACCGAACCTGATGAGTTGATTTGTGAGAGTTAGAGTGCACATGACGAGCTTTAGACAGTCTCCGAGTCTCCTCCTCCTCTCTTCCTAGTAAAGAATAGAGCTGCCTAACAAATGAGTTCTCCAAAGAATCAAGATACGAGTTGTGTTTCTCATTCGTCCAGCTACCACATTCTTCCTGCAGAATATTGATGAGAATCAAACTTGTCAAAAAAATCAAACCATTGCATATTCTCAGGTTAAAACCACTAAAACACTAATTACTCACAAGAACATGCAGATTAGTTAGCTTTAAAGGATATGGCAGTTGAAATAAAATTTGATTGCTGCTGACTTAAAAGCTTTATCAAGGATTTATATAGATCATAACATAAGTATCCAAGATTTCTATTAACAATCGAAAGTAACTGCAGTTACTAAAACTGAACTGTTAATTTAGTTGAAGTATTGATGTAGCCGAAGCTTCTAGGATAGAAATAGATCCGTTGATTCTACGAATAAACGGAAACTAGGATTTGTGACAGTGATAGTGCTTAATTAAAAACTTTTAGAATTTGAGAATAATTTTCTTGGTGGCTTTTAAAAACTTCTTTAGGAAAACTCTTTTAATCAATCTAACTAAATACAATTCTAATCATAAAAATCATATATATATATATATATATATATATACGAAAAGCTTAAAACAATAAAGATAATTATCAAAATAACTAATTAAATAAACAATAAATATCCTAAATATTTATGTACATCAAGTAAACAATTTGCAACATTTGTTGTCTTGTTTACGAAGATCAGATGCCATGTCAATTTTCGAACGAATGAGTATATGATTATCAGATCTGAAGTTTCCTCCCATATGTAACAAAGGCTAAAAATTGAATTTTAGTTTGCAAATCGAAATAAAAATTGCTTGTGGATTACTTTCTTTCATTACGATAACAATTAAACAAGCGGAGGATTTGTTTTAATTTTTTATTTTATTACCAGATTCGAATCCGCATCATCACGCGAGCTCTCAACCGTAAGACCGGACTCGAGCGAGTTTGATTGAGATTCAGACAACGTCTCCGCATCGCGATCCATCATCTTAGGAGAAACAACATTCACCTCACAATTATTCTCCATATGTTCCTCTCCAATGCTCTCACAACACAACAACAACAATAATAAACAAAAGAAAATATTACTTCTATAAATGAAAGAAAAAAAGAGATATTTATTTAGCAAGAAAAAAGAGATATTTGTTGAGGGGGAATGAGGAGGTGGGAAGGGAGAAGAAAAGAGAAAGAAGAAAGGTCCACATGGCGCGCTTTTACACGTGTCCGAATTGCCACGTCATTAGCAGCGATAAATATCTCGGACAAATATCAGCCAGATATTTTTTTTGGAGCTGAAGAAGAGGGAGGTTGTGTCTGTTTTAGATATTTTTATTAATTTCACACATGCTTCTTACGAGATGTAATAATTTTGATAATTTCTCACATATCTAATCATGTCTAGAGGTGGTTAATTTATTAACAACTATCATTAAAATATAATTAGAAATTTGGATAATGAGAGAAATCCGGAGAAAAAACTAATTAAAATTAGCTATTGGTTTAGCGAAATGGATATTTTTGCGTGAAATGAGATCCTTTCTGACGTGGGCAGTAGTTGCGTCCAAAAATATCTGCTCATTACCAAAATATCTATTCGTTTGTTTGACTACCAAAACAAATATCTCCCGCTTTCATAATCGTACTTTCCAACTGTAGACAACTTTTAATATGCAGAGTCACTAATTACAATTGTTGTTGATACAAGTGCAACATTGTTATGGTTAATCTGGAATTATGTAACTTTTGTGAACCTATATATATATATATCTTTTCGGTCTTCATGCGTATACTTGGGTCTATAACGGGCCGGGTCAAAATCTGTTTTAACATCTTTAGCTGGTGATTATTGGGTTTTTCTTATTAAGTCTTTTAAGAAAAAGAAAACAATGTCACACGGCCATATTTCACAGCAAGGATATCAATGACTACAGAAAATATTGCAGTGGGTATTATCCTAAATCCAACATGATATTACTCAGTTTCACGATTACACATGTCTCCAAGGATTTGATTCACAACTTTTTAAGAGTTTGAGAGAGACAAGAAAAATAAGTTCAAAAAAAATTCATATCAACTAATTAAATTCACAAATACAAAGCAAAACAAAAAACAAGTACTGAAAATTAAAAATCGCACCGACAAAAGAAATGAAATTCATTGTAGTTTTGGTTAAACCATAGTATTAGATTCTAAATCTGAATTTCTAAGAAAAACCACAGCTATTTCATCAAAACTGTCATTCCTTTGTACAATCACATCAGAACAAACAAACAATAATTCCACAGAAACATTCACTAATCATCATTATTATTATTATTATTATTCAACATTAAATTAGGTTCGCCGGAGAATTGTCGCACCGAACAAGCAACCACCTGAGCCCATTGCTTCAACCTCAGCTTCATCGTCTCCGGATCATCACCTTTTAAAATTTTTCAGATAAAAAAAATCACACATAATTTCACAAAAAGACAAAAAAAAAGGAGTTTCAGTTTCAGTTTCAGACAAACCTTGATCAACAATCGTCGTACTCGAATTACTAACTTCCCCTTCCGACACAACCGAAGAAAGCGACGAAGTCCTCGACAACCCACTCCTATACTGTTTATTAACAGCACAATACAACCCCAAAGCTGGTAAAGTTTCCGACAACCTCGGATCCAGTTCCGGAGAATCAGGCTCGAATCCAAACCCAAGCTCGATGCATCCTTTAAGCTCTTCAAGATCTTCGTCCGTCACGCTCTTACTCCGACCAAGTCGACCCGATGGTCTTTTCCCTTTCTTCCTAAGCCAAGCCTCTTCTCGATCCGCGTCCGGCGACCACGAGTGCTGCTTTATCAGCGGTCTTGGCGGCGGTTGCGACAGCGTTGCGTTGCGTTTCGACATTTTGTAGCGGCTAGGTTTATTTTTTCTGGAAGGGGGGGAGGTGCTAATCTCTCGTCTTTGGTGTTTTTATTACACACGCAAAAACGCGTGCGGAACACTACTTTCTATATATATAAATTAAGTATGTGTATGAAATGTAAAGTTACCATATTATGAAATTAGAAAGCTACCCCTAACTTTTTTTTAATATGCTTCCATATTTCTTTAAACTTTTTGTTATTATACGTAATTTCCAAGAATTATATATTATGGAGTTCAACATAAAAAATATATGAAGCTAGATGATATTGTTTTGGCCACTTACCGAAGATATTTTTCAAAGTAAAGTGTTTGTTTATTTGTAATCTTAATAAGAAAGCTACCCCTAACTTTTTTTTAATATGCTTCCATATTTCTTTAAACTTTTTGTTATTATACGTAATTTCCAAGAATTATATACTATGGAGTTCAACATAAAAAAATATGAAGCTAGATGATATTGTTTTGGCCACTCACCGAAGATATTTTTCAAAGTAAAGTGTTTGTTTATTTGTAATCTTAATAAGAAAGCTACCCCTAACTTTTTTTAATATACTTCCATATTTCTTTAATCTTTTTGTTATATACGTAATTTCCAAGAATTCTATATTATTGGAGTTTAACATAGAAAAATTGAGGCTAGATAATATTGTTTTGGCCACTTACCGGAGATATTTTTTGGAAGTAAAGTCTTTATTTATTTGTAATCTTAATAAGTCACCATGTCATTGTGGTATTATATGAAAAGAAAATAGTTAGGGACCAGATGGGAAACTTCAGACATAGTATATTCCAATAATAGAATGAGAATCGTTGACGGTAGCCGAAGTAGGAATTGACAAAAGGTATAGCCAGTTGGGTCAACTGGATCCGGTCCACAGCTGGTAAAATTTAATTCTGACAAACAGAATAATATAGTTATGGGGATTTGCTGTTGTCATATTCATTTTCTACTCTAAATTTTTTTTTTTTAAATTATGTTATTTCAAGAAGAACTTCGATTAAGAACATACATAAAACCATTTAATTATGAGGTCTGGTCTGGGACGTGTGTTGATGGTAATAATTACCTCGGACAAATAAATTAAACGTAATTAATTATCTTAACAAAAGTTGCTAGCAAAAGAGGGGAGAAAGCCTTCTTTTCTGTTGTAAAATAACACTATAACCAAAAATTAGGATTGAAGGTTTGAAACTGTTCACACATCGCAGTGTCATCTCCTGTCCTTTGCGACTAACTTTCTGCTAAAGTAATCTCAAAGCTGTCCACATGACTAAGACAGGCTGTGTCATGGCCGAATTAAAGAAGCTTTCTTTGTTGAGACTTTTAAACTTCGTAAGCAAACTTGGAATCTTTTTCCCACCCAATGTCCCTAAACCAGATAAACAAAATTCCGGTTTGATTGAGTATTGTCTCATCGGTTTTAAGACTGCCATACATGTTGGAAACAAATAGTTCAGTGTTCAGTCAATGAGGGTGATTGGTTGGGTTGTAAGTAATGACTTTAGCTTTAATTTCTGTCTACAACCATTTAAATCACCAATCATACTTTAAATAGTTTTTAAAGCTAAAGTCAAAAAAATGGAAAAGTGGTTGTAGGAATCCTATTTTCTAAAGCCAAAAAATATTGCTGTAGTATTGTTGTAGGAATATCTTTCCTTTTATATTTTTTTTTCATTTAATTTCTACAGCTACATTAGATACAACTACATCAAAAATATCTACAGTCTAAATTCTACAGTAAAATTTTTAAATCTACAGTTCAACCAATCACCCCCCATGTCTAGTCGGTATATAAATGAATCATAACTCGCTTAACTTCATGTCTACTGAATACGACAACTAAATTTAAAGCCCATATAAGGCCCACAACTTAAGACTATCAACAGATCACATATAAAGAGGAAACACATAGCATTACTTGATCTATTTTAAGCTAAAGTATCTTTTATCGAGCATAAAATCTTACTACAATCCTCTTCCACATGATAACAATCGAAGATCTTTGGTCCACATGATTGGATTGCGTGTAAGAGTGCAAAACCTTCGAGCTCACATTATTCGAGCCTTTCACTTCACATGCACATGCATTTACTAGGAAAATATACTTTTATGTTGAGGAATTTGCATGCTATGCCTCAAAGCTTTCTTCCAACAATAATTCATTTTTCTAATGCAAAGATCTCCAATGGATAGACGTCTTCCGAAGAGTTTCAACTACTCTTATCAACATTAAGTTCTGGACACAAAATAAAACAATCACGATAATATTAATTAAATCTAATCTAGGAAAGAACATGTCTCCAAAAGTCTATAGTGGAGTCCCATGTGAATTCTTTAAGCTCACGGTTCCATTTTTTTATAAGTTTATACAGATTAGACTTTCCTAATCCAGTAGATTCTTTCAAAAAACTATTAAAATATGATTGAAAAATAGAAATAAAAGATGGGAGACACGAAGAGGCACTTGTACAAGAGTCCAAACATTAAGATAAAATTAACTAAATTGAAGATCACATCACATGTGAAGATCAAATACAAACTGATTATAATTTTTGTTGCTTCATTTTAGTTGTATCCGACGGTCTGGAAGACGGCATGTGGCGCAAATTGAACGGACAAGATCTTTACACTTTACGAATTACTATTCGTTAATAAACCAATATGAATCAAATAATGATTAGGGAAAAGCAGCGTTGCTCATTGGACCACTCTGTCCAGTACATTTGTCCCACGCACGATCTGACGTTAAAGAGAGGGCATTAGATATTTAAAACCATACTGAGAATACAATAAACATAGAGTCCAAACAAAAGAAACCACCTTTATATCACGACGAGTGTCACGCCTGGGACACTTGTCCATCTTTCCCTCTCTACTGCCATCTCTCTCTCTCTCTCTCTCTTTAATAGTACTTTTCAGGTATTTTACTTTCTCAAAAAGGAAATAGTGAGTTTCCAAAAGTAAACTAAACAATAAAAATTTGAAGGTAAGGAAAAATAAAAGCTTACTCCTCTTTTTTTTTCTTTGTTCGTTTGTATGACTGAGCTGCTTCATTGTTTATTTTTGTTTTTAACCATTTATGTACTCATATTACTGATTGGTTTCTTGTTCAGATTCATTGTTTGGATCAGAATCATGAATTTTCCCGCCGTATATAAGCATATGATTAGATGTTTTGGAGAATTGTTTGTGACCCTCCTCTGTTTTCACTGTTTTTTTTTTTGATGAATCCTCTGTTTTCACTGTTTGCTCTGCTTTTTCTGTAGGGTTTATGTAAAAATCTAAAGCTTCAAATTGATAAAAAGATCCGATTTTTGTTGGTTACACTCGTCACTCTTCAATATTGGTATTCTTAAAGTTATATACTTTATCACTGATTTTAGATTATTCCTCTGTTTCTAACTGTTTGAATGAGATCAACATTTTTTTTTGTATTAACCATAACCTCTGCTTTTTTTTGTGTGTTTGTTTACTTGAAGGGTCATATAACTTAATTTGAGAAGAAGAGTAAGAGATGGGGTCTAGAATGAACTTTGTTGATGTTGTGAGTAATGAAGTATTTAACCCAAAGCAGCCAATGATAGGGACTGGTCTTCCATTGACCAGACAGAACTCTGTGTTCTCGTTGACTTTTGATGAGTTTCAGAACTCATGGGGTGGTGAGATTGGGAAGGAGTTTGGGTCTATGAACATGGACGAGCTCTTGAAGAACATATGGACAGCTGAGGAAAGCCACTCAATAATGGCCAACAACATTAATAGAGATTTGTCTGTTGGTGGGGGTGGTTTGGAGAGACAAGGGTCAGTTACCTTGCCTCGTACGGTTAGTCAGAAAAGGGTTGATGATGTCTGGAAGGAGCTGATGAAGGAGGATGACACTGGAGTTCCTCAGAGGCAACAAACTTTGGGAGAGATGACTTTGGAGGAGTTTTTGCTTAAGGTTGGTGTGGTTAGGGAAGAACCTCAACAACAGGTGGAGAGGGTTGATAAGTTCAATGGTGGGTTCTTTGGATTAGGCAGTGATGCAGGTCTGAGTTCAGCTCCTAATGGGTTTGGTCCTAACCAGCCTCATGGAGCCATGGTGAGACCGGATCTCCTGACAACTCAAACTCATCCGATGCAGCTGCAGCAGCCACAACAACAGATACAGAAGCATGTTCCAAAACAGACTACTATTGCATTTTCCAACACTGTTGATTTTAACAACCGTTCTCAACTTCCAACACAGGTGACTAAGAACCTAAAGATACATAATTAGATTTAGTTTTGGGCAATTCTCTTAAATATCAATCTTTTAAGTTTTTATTACAAAAATATACCTTAAAAAATTAAAATGACCAAAATAACAGTTTTTATTTTGAAAATTTAAGTTTTTTTTTTATTTTTTAAAATTTGAAATCTTATCCCAAAACCCTACTCTTCAACTCTAAACAAAAAAAAATATAGAATTAGTTAACCCAATTGTATAAATATATACTCCATCCGTTCCTAAAAGATCCATGTTCTGGAAAAATATTTTGTTTCAAAAAGATGTATATTCTATGTTTTCAATGAGAAAATTACAAGTTTCAAAAAATTAATTGGTTTTATTAGATTACTATTGGCTAAAATAATTGAAAATTGAAAATTACTGAAAACGATAGTGATTTAATGTGTTTTCTTAATATGTGTGAAAACACTAGAAAATATATCTTTTAGGGACAGAGGGAGTATTTAATAAAATATTTAAGTGCTATTTTGGTCATTTTAATTGTTAAGATATATATTTGTGACAAAAACTTTTTTAAGTCTATTCTAATCATTTTTTCTTTAGTTTAGTTTTCAGGATTATCTATAATTATGCTGTAGTTAAATTGATTTGCTTTTGCTCGTTTTTGTAGTGTCAGGAAGTGAAGCCTTTAATTCTTGGAGTTCAGGACAGGCCTATGAACAACAATCTACTTCAAGCTGTTGATTTCAAAACAGGAGTTAATGTTGCAGCAGTATCTCCTGGAAGCAAGATGTCACCTGATCTAACTCCAAAGAGCAACATGGATGCATCTCTGCCACCTGTTCCTTACATATTTGGCCGAGGAAGAAAAACAGGAGCAGTCTTAGAGAAAGTGATTGAGAGGAGGCAGAAAAGGATGATTAAGAATAGGGAATCAGCTGCAAGATCTCGAGCTCGCAAGCAAGTGAGTGTCCACTTTTAAATCTTAAGAGATTGAAGAAACACTTAGTTTTTTTTTTTTTCATTTTGCTGCCTGTGACAGGCTTATACGTGTGAGTTAGAGGCAGAAGTTGCGCAACTTAAAGAGATGAATGAAGAGTTGCATAAGAAACAAGTGTGTCTCACTTCTTACTATCTCCAGATTTTTTCAGTTGGGATATGTTTTTATATTTTCTTGAAGTTCTGACCAAATGTTTCATTGCAGATTGAGATCATTGAAAAGCAGAAAAAACAGGTACTGTCTCTTGTGTTGGTTAGGCTTTTAACCAAAAAAAATGGATTGCAATTAGACAATAGTCTTAAGCTTTTAGTAGAATATGTAAGAAACACAGTGAAGTAAAATATAACTTCATATCATAACATTAAGTACAATGTGCTAGATTAATCCCACAAGTTTTGATAATTTAATATAAATTGACTCATTTGTTGTTGCAGCTTTTGGAGCCAATGCACCAGCCATTGGGATGCAAAAGGCAATGCTTGCGAAGGACATCGACAGGTCCTTGGTAGATAGGGCGTCCAAGGACCCTCAATAAAGAGCAGAAGTTATAGAAACAACACAGAAAGTAGAAGCTAGCTTTTGTATGTAACTTAGGCAGTTAGGCCTATGTAATGTAACAGAGATGAACAAACAAACACTCTTTTGTTCTGTTTTCTTGTAACATCTTTTGTTTTTTTTTTTATGTTTCCTGATGTAATAGATCTTGATGTTGCTTTTATAATATGTGACAATGTTGACTTTGTGACTTAACCAGAGAGTGAATAGATTGATGGAAACATCATGTTTTAATCTTACCATTTTTTATTCCTTTTTCACTAAGTGGGCCCACACGAAACTCAGATTTAAGTGAATTTCAGACACAATAAAGTACTCAGAACTCACAAGTCGTAAGCTTTCAGTTTGTTTATATCGATTTTGAGAAACAGTGAGAGAAGACAAAAATGTTAAGGCTTTTGGGAAGAAGAGCAGTTTCAGCTTCTTCAGAGCTTACTTCTACTCATCAATGTAGGATCCGACCCGGAAACGATCCTTTTCGAAGTTTCCGAGGACTACAAAAGGGTTTCTGCATTAGTGTTCTCCCTGACGGAGTTGATAGAAACTCTGAGGCTTTTTCTAGCAACTCTATCGCCATGGAAAGGATCTTATCAGAGCTTCGCTCCCACATCACAAAGGTAACTAAACTAATCAGCCTTTCTATTGTTTACAGATGATGATTGATATGTATAAAGTGTTTGTTTGTTGAGTATTTGTAGGTTTTGGATGGAGGTGGAGAGGAGGCAGTGAATAGGAACAGAAGTAGAAACAAGCTTTTACCTAGAGAAAGGATTGATAAGCTTCTTGATCCTGGCTCTTCCTTCTTGGAGCTCTCTCAGGTTACATTTGCAATCTTGTGCTCATTACTGCTGCATCAGAGAAAAATCTAGAGTTGATTGCTAACTAATGTTGAATGAGAGAGGAGACTAAGATGAGAGTATTGTTTAGGTTGGAAGTCCATCTAACTTAACATGGTATCATAGCCCACGATCCACAAAATTCAACCCGATCCACATCGATCCGTGCCCAAAGTTGGCCCATCGATCTTTTCCCAAACATTCCGAGATTGACGCTTAAAGAGCCATCATCTCGAGGGGGCGTATTAGACACAAGGTTGTCCTACATCGGAAGTTGGAACAAATAATAACTAGTATATAAAATAGATGGGCCACTCCTCTTATCACCAATTGATATAAGATAAATGTGTTCGTCCCAAGCCCGACCGCATCGATAGGACATATAGAAGAAAAAGATGAGAGTATTGTTGAATGTTTTGTCTCTTAGAATATAGTTGCAGTGTTTCATTGATTGCTTCAAGCTAGGTACAAATTTAGCATTTATAGGCTCTGTCTGGTTTTATAATTTGAAAATATGGCTTTCATGAATTAGATTAGAGAATTATGACAATGATTGCAACTTGTGTGATGTCTTTGCTTAACCGGATATGAATATTGTTTGAAGCTTGCAGGACATGAACTATACGAGGAGCCATTACCATCAGGTGGCATCATCACAGGGATAGGACCAATCCATGGCCATCTTTGTATGTTCATGGCAAATGATCCTACAGTAAAAGGAGGCACTTATTATCCCATAACCATCAAGAAACACCTCAGAGCACAAGAGATTGCTGCTCGGTGCAGACTCCCTTGCATATACCTTGTTGATAGTGGCGGCGCTTACCTTCCCAAACAGGCAGAGGTTTTCCCTGACAAGGAGAATTTCGGTAGAGTTTTCTACAACGAGTCTGTTATGTCATCAGAAGGGATCCCACAGATCGCTATTGTGTTGGGATCATGCACTGCTGGTGGTGCTTATATCCCTGCCATGGCTGATGAGAGTGTCATGGTGAAAGGGAATGGTACCATATTTTTGGCAGGACCTCCTCTTGTGAAGGTTTATCATATCCCAAAACTGATCTCTCTTTCTTGTCTTGATTAGTTTCATGAACATGTGAAAGCTTAAAGTGAAAAGTTTATGAACAGGCTGCAACAGGAGAGGTAGTCTCAGCTGAGGATTTAGGAGGCGCCACGGTTCATTGTAATGTCTCTGGTGTCTCGGATTATTTTGCTCAAGGTATATAAATCTCTTTCTGCAGTATATATATAAACAATGTTTTAGAGTTTTTTAAAAAATGTTTTAGATTTAGAATATGCATATGTGTTTGGGTTCGGATATTTAGAGTTTTGGTTCTAATTTGTATCACATTTTAGGTCTCATTTTAGTATCGGATATAACACATTAGTTTCGATTCTAATTTTTATCTTACCCTTCCGGTTATATCAGTTCGGTTCGGATATAAGTAAAAAAAGTTGCTCTACTGTTGTAGACGAGCTACATGGACTTGCTATTGGAAGAAACATTGTCAAGAATCTGCACATGGCAGCAAAACAAGGGACAGAAGGAACATTTGGAAGCAAAAACGTTGAATACAAAGAACCACTCTATGACATAACCGAGCTTAGGTCCATTGCTCCAGTAGACCACAAGCAGCAGTTTGATATCAGATCTATTATAGCTAGGATTGTTGATAGGAGTGAGTTTGATGAGTTCAAGAAACAATACGGCACTGTAAGAAAACTTCTGAAGACTTTAACCCTTTAGTTCCACATTATGTCTTCTCACGTGAACTTTTTTTATTTTGGCAGACGCTTGTGACTGGTTTCGCTAGAATATATGGTCAGACAGTAGGGATCATAGGGAACAATGGCATACTCTTCAATGAATCTGCATTAAAAGGAGCTCACTTCATTGAGTTATGTTCTCAACGTAAAATCCCTCTTGTTTTCCTACAGAACATCACAGGCTTTATGGTAATAAAATTAAAAGTGTTCTTGTTGTGTTTTAACATGTTAAAGAGTGTCATGTGTCTGATCTTACTAGCTTATGTACAGGTGGGTTCAAGAGCTGAGGCTAATGGGATTGCAAAATCTGGAGCTAAAATGGTGATGGCAGTATCTTGTGCTAAGGTATGTGTTTAAAGATATGCATGTTTTAGTGATTTTGTTTTCAACAAACACATTTTTTTACCAATTAATAATGATTAATCTTCAAAAGAATTAATTGCATATACTGAATTTTATTGGTTTAAAATTATGGAAATAGATAATTACAAAAAAAAATATGCATTTAATATTAAAATTTGTGAAAAAACTAAAATATGCATTATTTTAAAACAAGAGAGAGTATATGCAAGAATCTAAGCTTGCTGCTTTGTTTAGGTACCAAAGATAACAATTGTAACTGGTGCAAGCTTTGGTGCTGGAAACTATGCGATGTGTGGCCGTGCATTCAGTCCAGACTTCATGTTCATGTGGCCAAACGCTAGAATAGGCATCATGGGAGGCCCTCAGGTAAAACCATTCTGAACCAAATCTTTCAAAAGAACCAAAAAAGTCTTCATAATCTGATCATTTTAAGGAGGAAAAAACTTTGCAGGCGGCTGGTGTTTTAAGTCAGATAGAAAGAGCTACCAAAAAGAGACAAGGAGTAAAGGTACTGAATAAAACAATCTCTTCAAACAGATGAGTTCTTGAACTATGAATATGTGTGTTTTTGTGATATGCAGTGGACAGAAGAAGAGGAAGAAGTGTTCAAGAAGAAAACGGTGGATGCGTATGAGAGAGAGGCAAGTGCTTACTTCTCAACGGCGAGGCTTTGGGATGATGGAGTGATTGATCCATCTGATACAAGAAAGGTTTTGGGACTTTGTCTCTCTGCTGCTTCAAACCGTCCTCTAGAAGATACTCGTTTTGGTGTCTTTAGAATGTAAAACAAACATTTCTATTTTCGAATAAATAAGATTGCATAGAAGTGGAAAAGAAAAACACTTTCATATTACCTGCAGAAACAAACAACGTTGGCCTTGTTTTTGGTGGAAATGGTTCGAGACTTACTCTTTGCTAAGTAAGGGTTTTTGGCTCATTGATTAAACAAGCACCCGTGGCCCAATGGATAAGGCGTCTGACTTCTAATCAGACGATTGTGGGTTCGATCCCCACCGGGTGTGTATATTTTTTTACATAATCACTTTTTTTCCCTTCTTTTTTGTTGACAAAATTTTCAAATCTCTTAGGATATTAATGCCGGTAAGACAAACAACTGGTGGCAATACCAAAAGTGTTATTACTACTCATAACCAATTCCTGGTTAGTGTATTGTTGAAAAAAAAGTTTTTAAACGAATAAAAAAGGAAGGATGATTATAAGGAACTCCACCACCAAGAATACATTCACCTACCACAAAGATGAAGAAGCAGAGTTGTTGGATCCACCTTTTTGTTCCCCTCGGGTTGGTGTTCTTCTCTACTCACCAAGTCTACCATTTTTATAAATTAATTATATGCAGAAAATATACTCGTTTTATTTAAAATTATTTTAAGATACACATTATAATCTATTTATAGTCATAATCGAATTGGAGAATCAAAATCCAGACATAATATATATACACAATACTATTATATGAAGCAAACATTTAACTCACTCATAAATTCAAAAACATATTCACTTGTGTCAAACCATGCCACCATTATCACCCCAAGTGTGTCTGAAAACCACAGGAATGGGACCCATTTAAGACAGAGACGGACCAATCGCGTGTTAGGAGAATTTCACCAACCCCAAACCGGGAGTCACAATACCAGATTTAACTTAACCGGTTCAAACCGGTTTCATTTTCTCCTCTATTATATATACATCACTAATGCTATCTGTGTGAATCATCAATCTCAGCAAAACAAAACAAAACACAGAGCTAAATGGCGACGACAACAACAGAAGCAACGAAGGCATCTCCAACTAATGGAGAAGACAAGCAATCTCAGAATCTCAGACACCAAGAAGTCGGTCACAAGAGTCTCTTACAGAGTGACGATCTCTACCAGGTCCATTTCATTTCAAAAAAAAGAAAACGCTGCCGTTTCTTGATCCAGTCCAATAATAATCTAAACATAATCTTTAATTAACAAACATGCAGTATATTCTGGAGACAAGTGTGTACCCAAGAGAGCCAGAATCAATGAAAGAACTCAGGGAAGTCACAGCAAAACATCCTTGGAACATAATGACAACATCAGCAGATGAAGGACAGTTTCTCAACATGCTCATCAAACTCGTTAACGCCAAGAACACGATGGAGATTGGTGTTTACACTGGCTACTCTCTTCTCGCCACTGCTCTTGCTCTCCCTGAAGACGGCAAAGTAAAACATCTTTCTTCCTCTGTTTTTTTTTTCTTTACAATATGATCTAAAAATGATTTCATCTTTATATCTTCAGATTCTTGCTATGGACGTTAACAGAGAGAACTATGAGTTGGGTTTGCCGATCATCGAGAAAGCTGGCGTTGCTCACAAGATCGACTTCAGGGAAGGCCCTGCTCTTCCTGTTCTTGATCAACTCGTTGCTGACGTAAGCATAATATAACGTTAAAAAGATTATAATAATCACGTTAATGGCCTAACTACAATTAAGGTTGATTTTTTTTTTTAATTCGGATAGGATTTCCTATATAAAGTATAAACACATTTGTTTCTTTTTTCCATACAATTATCAACTCTTTGCTGACGTCAGCATAATATAACGTAAAAATATCAGATACAACAATCACATTATGGTCTAATTAATTAATTAAGGTTGATTTTTTAAATATTTTGGATAGGATTTTCTATATTAAGTATAAACACATTTGTTTCTTTTTTCATACAATTATCAACTCGTTGCTGACGTAAGCATAATATAACGTAAAAATATCAGATACAACAATCACATTATGGCCTAATTAATTAATTAAGCTTGATTTTTTAAATATTTTGGATAGGATTTTCTATATTAAGTATAAACACATTTGTTTCTTTTTTTATACAATAATCAACTCTTTGCTGACGTCAGCATAATATAACGTAAAAATATCAGATACAACAATCACATTATGGCCTAATTAATTAATTAAGCTTGATTTTTTAAATATTTTGGATAGGATTTTCTATATTAAGTATAAACACATTTGTTTCTTTTTTTCATACAATTATCAACTCTTTCCTGACGTCAGCATAATATAACGTAAAAATATCAGATACAACAAACACATTATGGCTTAATTAATTAATTACGGATGATTTTTAATATTTTGGATAGGATTTCTGGATAAACAGATTTGTTTCCTTCTTCATATAAGGAAAAAAAATGAATTATATACTATTATTAAGAGCTAGGGGGTAGCTTATTGTGTGTGGTTATGTGCAGGAGAAGAACCATGGAACGTATGATTTTATATTCGTTGATGCTGACAAAGACAACTATATCAACTACCATAAGCGTTTGATCGATCTTGTGAAAGTTGGAGGAGTGATCGGCTACGACAACACACTGTGGAACGGCTCTGTCGTGGCTCCTCCTGATGCGCCAATGAGGAAGTACGTTCGTTACTACAGAGACTTTGTTCTTGAGCTTAACAAGGCTCTTGCTGCTGACCCTAGGATTGAGATTTGCATGCTTCCTGTTGGTGATGGAATCACTATCTGCCGTCGGATCAGTTGATTGATGATACCCACTTTTGAGTGTGGGTTCATTACTTGCATTTCTCTTTTACCTTTCATTCACCAACCATCTTTATGTATTTTGTTTAAGTAATATCTTTGTGATCAAAGAAATGATGTATCCTATTCCTACTTTTTGTTTGTTTTTCATTTATATTTGATAAATATCTAAAAGAAGATAAGAGTCATTATGTTTTCTAAAGACACTTAAAATGAATTTATGTATACTAATAGACATTATGGTTACTGAACCAGCCAATCATCATAAACTTTAATTTGTTGAAAGGTGGCTGTTGGAATTGTCAAACTACAACAAAATCCAAATTAATAATTATATATATATATATTTATATATATATATTGTGAAAGAAAACAACAAAAAGTAGGAAGATTAGGTCAGCAGTCTTTGACATTTCAATAGAAATACTAAACACATGTTAGGTAGTTTCAGCTCAATTACTCAAACAAAAAGATAAGTGTATTATATACACTTTGCTTTAGGCCTTTTGTCAAAAGAGAAGAAAATTTAGTTTACTATTATAATATAGATTTTTTTAGAAACCAAAACTTTGAATGATTATTACAATGAAAGAATCTTGTATCATACACAACACAGAGTTCTATTTTACATCATTTCTCATTCTGTGTACAAAATGAAGTTAGATATGTCTTTTAATCCAGCCTCTTCATAACATTTAGCAATATGGTGCAAAGATTCAGACCATGTTCCTTCAATAGATGCCAAGTCCAAGAGAAAAGCAGCAACATCCAAAGCAACTTGGATGGGATCTTTACCTTTCTTTAAATCCTCAAAACGACCTTCATCACTCACTTTCTCTCTTATGAATTCTATTTGCTCATCTTCCCATTGTGCAATACTAGCAACCTCCTGCATGTTTTTCACACATGGTTAAAATATTATTATATCACATCCACATTCATCACCTTTAAAAATTTATCATAAACTTTTGACATGCCTCATAAGGACATCCTAAAGTCCACCAAGGTGATTTTAGTGCTACTCTAGCTGCTTCTTTTGCTTCTGAATTGCGTCCTACCCTGAAAATAAGAAGCCTTAGAGATAAGTGTTTTCTGTCATTTTTCAAAATAATAAAATTGAGAGTTGATGAAGTTACAAACTTCTGCAGTATGTTTGCATAGTATACAAAAGGCCGTCCAAATCCTGGAAACAGATCTTTCTTTGTGTAGAATTCTCCTGTCACCATAGCTGAAACCTTCCAGAAGACAAGAAGTCTCTTAAGAGTTTCAGAAATGAGATTCAGAGACATAAAATGTGATAATTATATTCTTACATGATCTCCTTCATCGAAATGCCGTAATACTTTTTTCTCCAACACATCAGGAAACAGCCCAACCTAATCCAATACCAAAAGACAATGGTGTTCAATTATAAGTTCTTTCATATAAGCATTTGTGATAGTGTTTTTTTTAAAGGCTTACCTTTTTTAAGACATAGACATCGAGATTATCAATCTGAGATTCAGCAAAAGCACCCTTTTTGTAAAGCTTTTCCCCTGCCTCAGCTGAGGCAATGTAAAGTTCAGACAGTTCTTGTGCATCTTCTTCAACTAGAATCCGGTGAATGTATTCATCTACCTGAATATTAAACAATGTAAACTACTTCTCTTTGCTCAAAGAAATTTAAAAAAAAAAGAAAAAAAAAAACAGAACAAGAATGATATAAATAACTTTACATTTCTAGCTATAAGCCGGACACCACTCCTCCAAACTTCAACAACAGGCATATCCAATCTGATATTGGATACAAAAAAAAAGGTTGAATTCAAGAAAATCAAAACATCATTTCAAGAAATGATCTGACCAAAATATCATACCCTGGTGGAGCAGTAGGCCATCTCAGAAGCGCAGTAACAGAGCCTACTTAGACAATATAAAAAAAAAGTAAACAGAAAACTTCTAATAAAAGGGCTAAAAGAATTCAATCAAGTGTTGAATCTTTACCTGAAGAGTCCTTAGAAAGAGGAATAGCAAGAGGGATGAGTCCTTGCTTAGCTCCAGGAGATATGATGGTTTCACCTGCACAAGAAAAAAAAATCAAAACACATATTGTTTGTTTATAACGGTGAATCAGAAACCAGAACTTAGCATAACTGTTCAATCATTAAAATATTTAAACCTCTTGTTTGAAGAACTTTGAGTAAGTGTTGAAGATGAGCTGGAGGTTCAGTGACAGCTACATCTTTGATAAATGATACATGCCCTGCAACACCAACAACAATATAAAAGCAACTAGCTAATAAGTCCATACCAATGTGGCATTTGGAGATATATTACACATTAATTAACTAACTGTTGTCTTCACCAAGATTAATTTTAAGACAAAGAGACAAGCTCAACTACAAACCACAGACCATTTCTCTATACATTTCATTCAAGTTACATGCCCTAAAACAATAACAACAAAAACAGCTCCTACTAGTAAGTCCATCCTAATGTGACATTTTAGATATATTACACATTAATTCACCAACTGTTGTCTCCACCAAGATTAATTTAAGACCATTTCTCTATAAAAACCAAATCAAAATTAAGAAAATTAAATAGTAAAAAACGAGAGAAATACCAGAAGAAGAGCAACAGGAGACAGTAGTAGTAGCTCTTGTCTGGCGCAAAGGAAGAGCAGAGAAAGGAGTGAACAGCGAACTCATGTCTCCTCCCTCCTTATCTCTTTTCTCTTCTCTCCTCCATATACTCTCTCAAGCTTATCTTTATTGGGCTTTAACATGGGCCTTCTTTGTGTGTTATTTTTCTTCATCCCGAAACCAAATGTTTTAAACACAAAAACCAAATGTTCTTCTAAAAACAAATTTCGGTTTAATAAAATGGTTTAAATTCGGTTTAGAATTCCCGGTTTAGTCCAGCCATATTTAAGTCAAAAGGGAATCTTACATTACAAGACACAAATGGAAAAAGATCAAAAAAGTTTTGACCTTGACGTATCACGCATTGTTGTACCAAAAATTACGATGAGGATAAATACAAACTCTAAACCCCATTTTCATTGTGGCCTTAACCGCTTACTCAACCATGGATTACACAACAGCGACGATCAAAGAAGTATCATCGATGTACAATGCTGATGAGGAGAATGTTTGCAGGATTTGCAGAAATCCAGGGGATGCGGATAATCCGCTTCGGTATCCGTGCGCTTGCAGCGGGAGCATCAAGTTTGTTCACGAGGATTGTCTCCTTCAGTGGCTTAGTTACTGCAAAGCTCGTCACTGCGAGGTTTTAACTTGCGTCTTCTTTTATTATCTCGACAAATGTCATCTGTAGTTGGAATGGATCATAAACAATATATAAAATAGATGACATGTTTAATTTGCTTTTTTTTATTGTCCCCACAAATGTTATCATAGTTGGAAGGGATCCTCAACAATATATAAGATAGATAACATGTTTAATTTGCTTTTTTTTTTATTATCCCGACAAATGTCATTGGTAGTTGGAAGGGATCCTAAACAATATATAAGATAGATGACATGTTTGATTTGTTTTTTTATTATCCCGACAAATATCATCGGTAATTGGAAGAGATCCTAAAAAATATAAGATGGACGGCATGTTTAATTTACTTTTTTATTATTATCCTTATAAATGTCATCGGTATCGGTAGTTGGAAGAGATCCAAAACAATGTATAAGATAGATGGTCCACTCCAGTTATCACCAATTGATTTTAAGAGTTTCATCGTCTCTGGCAGGTTTGCAAGGAGAGTTTCTCATTCTCACCACTTTACGCTGAAAATGCTCCCACAAGGCTCTCTTTCACGGAGTTTGCTGTTGGCGTTGCGATGAAAGCTCGCAATAGCTGTCTTCCTCGGTTGAGTTTGGTGGTTTCCGTCTGGCTTCTCATTGTTCCTCTCGTTACTTTTCGGATGTGGAGATTGTTTTTCCTTCGGTGTTTTGGTGAAGAAGCTCAGAGGTTGTTATTGAGCCACACGTTTATCACTGATTGTTTGTTTGGGTTTATACTATCAGCAACCATCATCGTCATTCTCCGTGGATCGACTTCATTGAGAGATGATTATCTTAGGCATTTGAGATATTTTAGGCATTTAAGAGTTTCATTGTATGGTATGATTGGAATGGAGGGTCCATTATTTCATTTGGTTGAGAATGCCTTTAGTGTAAGTTAATTCATTGTGTCTAGATTTTTTTTTTCTTGATTCTGTTTTAGTCTCTTTATTAATATTTTTTTAAACATATGTGTTTACAGGTTATGGCAAGTAATATGATATTTCTTGGTGCTTTCATCTTTGTGCCTTTCACATTAGGACGGGTTATATTATATGGTCTCTTTAACGGTTATGTTACTGGATCATCATCAACGCGATATGATGTTACAACTCTGAGTGTTGGATACATTTTTATCATCTTTTTAATATTCCTTTACCTTGGAATCTCTTGGATAGTGGGAACTGTATCACTTCCCCTTAGGCAATTCTTGGAAGCGATGAGAATAGGAATCAGAATTGTTACTATTATGGTCTTAGAGTTTGGGGTCTTCCCCCTGATCTATGGGTGGTGGATAGATGTTTGCACGGTTACAATGTTTGGTCAAACAATGTCTAACAGGCTACAGTATTTATCAGTTTCTCCACTGGTAAGCACGCTTGTTCATTGGGTTGTTGGAACCATCTACGAGTGGTATATATCAATATGTTGTGACCTTCTTCGACAGGTATCTTGCTCATAATTTTGTTTTAGAAACAGTTTTTTTTTACCCCTCTTGCTAATATCTACTATTGTGCTCAGTGTCGGACCTGGACACATACCAGTGATACATTTGAAAAAATAAATATTTTGCATATTTACTTAAAATAAAATTATAAAATTCATAAAACTAATAAAAAATCATACAAATAAGCTACTTAAACTATATAATATGTAAATATTTTTCAAAAAAAAACTAAGGTTATTATAGTCGTTTTTTTTATAAATGTATAATTATTTTTTGTAAAAAATTTTAATATATTTTAGTGATTCTCAAATTATTATTTTAGGAAACAGTTTTTTTTTTACCCCTCTTGCTAATATCTACCATTGTGCTAATTTTGTAGGTTCTTCGCCCTGAAGTTTTGTATTGCCTTTTTGGTCCCGAAGATGATATGGATGAGGCAGAGCGATATATATTTCATGAACCAGTACACAAGGTTGCTCGGGATTCTTTCTTAGCCAGTGCACAGATTGGGAGTTCGATTGTCTTGTGTTTATTTTTACCTATTCAACTTGCGATATGGATGGCTCCTCCTTCAATCTTCCCTCTCGACATTTCGTAAGAAACATTATTGTCTTACACTTTTTTTTTTTGTGTTTTTGGAGATTATGTCTTTCCTAACTTGTGCATATACACAGTGTATCAGACCCTTTCACTGAGATTCCTGCCGGCATTGTCCTTCTTACAACATTCACACCTTTTATCATCGAGCATTTTAGGTTTCAGACCACAGCTGTGTCCCTTCTACGCTGCTGGTGCACATGCGTCGGTTGGTCAAAACCAGAGGATAACGTTGGTCAGGAGAACGTAAATGGTGAACCAGGAAGGCAAGACAGAGCACAAGTCTTGTCCATTCTACTTGTTGCATGGGTTACTCTACTTCTGGTCTATTCTACATTAATAGTTGTATCAGTTTCTCTTGGGCGTTATTTATTTAATGCCATCCCAATTCTCCCAATAACACATGGAATCAAATGCAATGGTAAATAACTAAATATATATATATGATTGTATCATTTCATTCTTTCAAAATAGTACAAATTTTTTAACAGAATCTTCTTCTAATTATTTTGTAGATTTGTATGCTTTCTTTATTGGCATGTATGTCTTTTGGACTACCATATCTGGTGCCATGTGTGCTGTCCAGCATGTCAAGTCAGAGAGGACTTCAGACTTGTTTAACCAAATGTTGAAATTGTGTGGGATTGTCATCAAGAGCTTGGTGATTTTAAGCATATGGGTAAAGTGGTTTGTATACTCATCAGAATTTTTGAGACACTCCAAACTCATTTGATACTTACTGAACAGGTTCTTATCATTCCGGTACTAATCGGACTTTTGTTTGAGCTTCTGGTGATTGTCCCAATAAGAGTCCCAGTAGATGAAAGCCCTATCTTTCTCTTGTATCAAGACTGGACTCTTGGCATCATCATTTTGAATATTTGGACTAGACTGGTAATTATGTTTCCCCCCCACTGCCTTAAATATATATATATATCTTGTTACTGAAATACAACAACAATGGATATGTAATGATGCTTCAGATAATGGATGATAGCTGGAGAGAAAAGTTTGAGAGAGTAAAAGAAGATGGTTTTGCTAGGCTTGAAGGGTTATGGATACTGAGAGAGATTGTATTCCCAGTGTTGATGAAACTGCTAACAGCATTATGCGTGCCTTATGTCCTTGCGAGAGGAGTGTTCCCAATGCTCGGATGTTCACTTGTGGTGAACTCTGCGGTGTACAGATTCGCGTGGATAGGTTGTCTCTCAGTGAGCCTCTTGTGCTTATGTGCAAAAAGATGCCATGAGTGGTTAAGAAACCTTCATAACTCGATCCGTGATGAACGTTATATCATTGGTCAAAGACTCCATAACTCTGGGGAGGAAACTGCTTTGGCTATAAAAGGAAAGCCAAAGCAGTGAAGTTTCAGGAGATAGGTGAGTGAGATGCTTGACTTTGACTTAGACGTAACAAGATGCTTAGAAAGAAGATTATGTGAAAGATAAAGCCATATATAGAAATGTGTTAGTGTCCTTAGCAGTTCCATTGGAACACCATCGTATATATCTAATTAAAAGTAGTTTTAAATAAGTCATGAATTCAATAAACTTGATTAAATCCAATGCTGGTTCTAGTATTCTGTTTTTTTCTTTCTTAAACCAATTTTGAATCTTTATTGTACATTGAAAAAGGTGTATCAAATTTGGATGAATGATCTTAGTTAACACAGATTTGTTGGCTCTAGTAGACATGATCTTTACAGAGGTTGTGATCTCTTATTTAGTTCAAGTCTTTGTCATTGCTTTTGGTGTACAATATCAGGATTCTTGTGTTTCCAGCCACATTGCAACATTTAGTCTAAATTTTGTGTGTCAATATGACAAAGTAGATGATATTGGTGGTTAGTAGTTTAGGCTTATGTCTTATAATCTTGAAGAAATATTTCAATCTTGTGAACCTTATATTAAAAGTGTGACTGACTATTCTCAAGTTCCACTATATATTACATGTGATTTCAACGATCACGACTTAAAATCAAACAACAGTTAAAGCCGAAAGAGGGTTCAGATTTGGGTTTCGTCTTGGACTTTTTCTAAGAGAAACTTTTGACGAAAAAAAGTGGGGAAAAAATCACTCAAAATTGAAGAGGAATAACTAGGGCTGGGCAATCGGGGTCCCAATCGGGTTTCGGTTCGGGTTCATTCGGGTTTCGGGTTTTCGGGTTCATGAATTTCAGCCCCATTCGGATATTATAAAAATTCGGGTCGGATTCGGTTCGGGTTTAGTCGGGTTCGGTTCGGGTTTAGTAACATATCCAAGATCCGGTTGAACCCGAAATAATTTCGGTTTCG